AGAGAGAGAGAGAGAGAGAGAGAGAGAGAGAGAGAGAGAGAGAGAGAGAGAGAGAGAGAGAGGGAGGGAGGGGGAGAGAGAGTGAGATAGAGATAGAGCGACAGACACAAAGGGGGAGAGAGAGAGAGAGAGAGAGAGAGAGAGAGAGAGAGAGAGAGAGAGAGAGAGAGAGAGAGAGAGAGAGAGAGAGAGACTTCGCCATAAACAAAAATCAGAAGCCAGACAAACAACTCGATCTCTGTTCGTTAAGTGTCAAACCCTCATGAAATAATCAAAAGCTGGCCGCAGGGTTGGAACTAACAGTGTAGAGGTGCTTGCCATTTCTTTCTTTGCATCGGGGAACTCCCAGAACATCATTGCGGTTCTCCAACGAAAATGTTTGCTGTGTGAAAGCAAGAGTGGGCAATTTTGAAAAGGGCAGAGCATTGTGGCATTGTCGTTTCCGACTTGCGACACCTGTGTGACCGCGCACGACACAACAAAATTGCTAAACCAACGCCAGTAAATGCGTGACACATTTCCCCCCCGCAGCTATAAATGAGGACAGCAGTATCGCTCACACAGGGCGCCCCTGTTCACGAGTCAGCACCGGACTCCTGCTGCGACGGTTCGTCGGATTCTGTCTCGAAAGACTGAAATGGCGACATAGCCATGACCTTCTTGATCGATTCCCGTTCAGAGATGCGTTTCCACCACGCAGCTACGTGAGGACGACCCATAATCATGGGTGCATGTGCACATCCAACGGCTAGGAAGGTGACGGGGATGTGGGTGAGATCGGCATATGTGAAACGGTCGCCGACCAGATACTCTTGCTTCGAAAGAATCTTCTCATAAACATCCAACGTCTGTTCAAACTTCCGTTTGTGCTCCTCCAATCGAACAGAATCAGTCGGTTTGTGGTAGTATTTCGGATTCAAAAAAACCTCCTTGAAAATACCAGCACATGATAATCCATAGGAATACGCCTCCACATTCACCCACTGATCAATTTTGGCCGCCTCCTTTGTCGTCATGCCCAGCAAAGTCTTGCCTCTCTCCCCAGCTACGGTCAGGATATATCGAGCAATCGCTCCCGACTCTGAGTATCATGAGCAACAACATCAAATGAAGAACAAAACACAGAATGATAGGTAAGAGCCTACCAAACACGTATTACACAACAGGTTCTCGCATCCACCTCTCTCTCTCTCTCTCTCTCTCTCTCTCTCTCTCTCTCTCTCTCTCTCTCTCTCTCTCTCTCTCT